GGCTCTCCCCCAGCATCGCCCCGGCTCGCCCCGCTCACAGCAAGAGCAGTGAACAACATAGTTATTGCCACTATCAAAAGGGCTCCGAACAGAGCAAACTCTGGGCTTTTCTTTAAGGCAAACACCCGCTGGTTGTGGAGATTTTCCACAGACCGCTTCCCCAGCCCCGCGCTCCTTTTGCGTTTCCCTCGGCAGGGAGTGAGACTCGAGCTCCGTGTTCGCCATCAGCTTCACCTCCTCCATGGCACGCACTGAAGTGCTCCCGATCTGCAAAATGTCTACACTAAAAAAACCCAAACAAATCAAAACCTTACAACCGTTTCTATAGAATATAGTAAATAAATATGCTCAGAAAATAAAAATCCCTTTTTCCTTTCATAAACCAGGCTACAATAAACGCAGGACTTCTTTAATTACTTGACAGTGTCAGTTTAACATCAGCATTCCCTCAGTGCATCCCTCAATCAGGGACTGCGGACTTGAGGGCGCTAAAACTACATTTGGAAGAAATAAATAACTGTATTTTGGAGCCGGTTCCTGACTTCCCCCACACCCGATGCCGCCCGGGAGCTGATGGTGCGGCTGCTGCAGGGTGCTTTTCCCATGGGATGTGCCAGGAGATGCCCCTTCCCAGCCCCTGGGCTCAGGTGCAAGTGTCGGGAGAAAAAAGGATCCAAGTTGTGGGAGAGCACTGGAAATTTTAATGTTTCCCTTTCTTCGGCACCTGTACATGTGCACACACACGCCGGTGCGTGCCAAAAGTATTTGCGCCATCATTAGGCGCGTTTTTGCATCCTCCGTGCACAGTCCCGGACTGCTGTGGGTCCGTATGGCTTCACCCCACACGGTTGGGGGTCTGCAGGGACACACACGGCGTTTTGGGTTGTGGGTCTGTGCCAGAGCCCGTGTGCGCAGCAGGTCGGGCTGCCTGTGGGTGCGATGGCCGCTGTGACTATTGCTCACTGCTGATGAATCCCTGCCATCCCGCTGAGTAATTACAGCGCGCTTCAGAGGAGCATCATCCATCAAACGCTGAGCAACACTAAAGAAAAACTAATCACGCGCTGGAAGGAGAGCCCCGTCTCCCTCACTGGCCCCTCCCTCCTCATCCTCACCGCTATCTGCCCATCCTCTCCATCCTCGCTGCCTTCCTTCCCCAGCTCCATCCTTCCTGGGATCGGACTCCCCTCCCGAGCTGCAAAGGGGTCCCAGCTTGCTCCAAGGACGCCGGCTGCCCACGAAGAAAAATAAAAATACAGCTCATGGTCTTCCTCCTCGCTGCTGCCCAAACTCCTCCAAGCGCTGAAGCACATACTAAATACGCGTTACCCACCCGCTCCCCTCCCTCTCCTCCCCATCGCCACCCCAAGCTCCCACTCCCCACCATGGTGACCCTCACCCCGGCTCCAGGGGCCACTGGTGCTGGACACATCCTGCAAAGCACAGCCCAGCGAGCCAGAGCTATTTTGGGAGGCTGGAGCAGGAGAGGATTAATCCTCAGCACAGCAGCATCGTTAGGCTTCATCACCTTCCATCCGTCTGGCTCTGAGGAGCTCCACTCCATCCCTCCCTTCACTTTTTTTTCACATAGAAAAGCCCTGGACCAAACCCGCACACAGCGCCCGGGTAAACTCCCCTGTCCTGGAGCATATTTGCATTGCACATATATGGCTATGTCCATATATATGGTGCATATATATGGACGTAGTGCTAATTATACTTACAGACAATTCTAATTAGCGTGTAGAGAGCGCTGTCCCCTGGGTGTACCCATGGCTGTGGGTGTACAGTCAGTATTTGTGATCGGAAAAAAACTCATCTCCGTGGGTGCGGAAGCAGCACCGGCCCTAAGGAGACCCGTCCCACAAATAAACGCAGGTGTGAGCACCCACCTGTGGGTGCCCAGGGCCGGTCAGGGTTTCCATCACGGCGGTGGGTCTGTGCCTCTGGCCCTGGAAGGGCTTCGTGCTCGTGGTGGACAGGAACGGTACCTGCAGCCTCGGAGAGCGGCAGGCCCTACTGAAACCCGGGGTCTGCAGAGAGGGGCCGAGCAGCAAAGGGGTCCTGATGGTGCAGCACCGCAAACCTGTGCAGGGAGGGAAAGGCATTTTAGGGAAGAGAGCCAACGCCAGAGCCCTGCCGAGATGAGAAACCCTCCCCAGCCGGGAGCCAGGATCTCCGCACGTCCCCATCTGCTGGCAAACCCCGCTGCCCCCAGCCCACCATGAGCATCGCTAGATGGGATTCGAGCCCCAAATTCCCAATTCCCATCCCTTCGGGGCTCTTGGCCACCCCCTGGCCAGAGGGCTTCTGTGCACAGCACCAGGGGGGAATCCCAAACTGCAGCGCCCAGTGCCGATCGTGCAGGGAACACACTCACCGCTGGGAGACGTTCGAGGCAGCACAAGAAATCCCTCCGTGTGTCCCTTCCCTATCACTGCTCTTTGCAACCGCTTTACGCCCGCATCTGGGATGCCTGGGACGAATCATCAGGGTAAGTGATGTCCTGGACCTCAGGACAACACTAGCAAGGAAGGACTCTTTTTTTTTTTTTTTTTTTATACATTAGAACATTTATTTCTCAGAGAGAAAATATAGTCTCAGACAGTCAGATTATAGTAGGTAAAATTAGCTTTTTTTTTTCTTCTTTACAAGCATAGATTTTCTTATTACCTCTCTTATACCATCTGATATAAACAATTCTAGAAAGCAAATAAACTCACTTTCTACAATAAATAGAGCGATCTGTGCTTTACAGCAGACTGACAGTAACGTTTAGGTCCCGTAGCAACAGCAGGATATTAGCCCAATTCAAATTCTAAAATGTCATTTAAAAAAAAACCCAAAAAACAAAAACCAAACCAAAACCAAACCAAAAAACCCAAATCCCAAATTCTTAAAACATATACACAGGTCACAAGTCCACAGCTGAGCTACCACCTGGAAAAGTGTATGTTCCTTTAAATAAATTACACTGTGTGCATATAAAAGACCCAGCAACACAACTGAGGACTTCAAGAATGGTGACAATAGGTCTAAATAATTTAGAACAATATTTTACAACTATATACACAACATCCTTCCCTAGCCACACTCCATAGGCATTATTATTACTATTATTTTTACAAAATCCTATGCCCCATCTCTATATGTTACAGGAATCTTCCTTAAAGTGTGGTTCCATGTCCCAATGTATAAGAAGTGGTATTTTAAAAAAGTAGACCAAGTAGAAATGGCAGTGATTACTCCCCACTATTCATTATTATTATTATTAATTATTATTATTTTGACCCCACATTCTCTTCAGTATGAAAAAGTTAAAATAATAAAAAAATATCAAGTTAAAAAGCGAAATGATGATATTCAATCTACAATCTTGCTCTGCACCTTTGGTTCGTAAAATGGGAAAGCAAAAAGGGATAGATACACAACAGAAGAGATCCGAGAAATCATAAAGTCCTTGGCTAATAGAAAAGGTTTTTGTCATCAAGTTTCCAAACATCAGTTGTCCCCGTTTTTGCAACGCAAACCCAAAAAACCAGGGATTGTCTGCAGAGCTGGCTTTACTTGGGTTTTGATGGATGACAACGCTGGAGACCCCCACACCAGGGAAAAGATATGCGCGTGTGGGAGAAGGCGAAAAGGCAAAATGGTCGTGTGCTCTCGTTAGCGCTTGGTTTCCACCCAAACCGAGCCAGAGGAAAACGTTAGAGAGACAGAAAAAAAGGAAGAAAGGAAGAGGAGCCTTACACCAAATGTGCATAAAGCAACACAAAAGATGTATCTCCCTCCAACCCTGATCAACCTCAGTGCCTGCAAAGCCGCTCCAGCTCAGCAGACACCTCCAAAATTAGTTTTGCTTCTTAAAAAAAAAGGAAGTTATCTTTGCTTAGACTCACTACTATACTAAACCGTGATATGAGATGGTACTGGAACAAGCACAGTCACAGAAATCAGAATTTAAATGTGAAACTACCAAATAAATTTCTAGGACATACACACACACACACACAAAATCAGGTAATTTGCTTTTTGTATTTAAAGCTCTGTGCATCTGTGCATGTGTGCAGCAGAGGGGAAGGTTACCAAAATACCTCAAGCTTTTCTAAATGCAATGAGAGAAATCTAACATGAAAACGCTGTGCGTAGGCAGGAAAATCGTAACGCAAACTCCCAGCTACGATTTTTTTTTTTTTTTTTTTAAAATGTGATGGGACAATCAATGGCATTTAAAAAAAATGAAAAGGCCAATGATGGTTAGGGTAAATTTGGCACAAGAAAGTCCAGTTGGGATTTCCGTAAAGGATCCTGGTTCGGTTACAGCGGTGACAGGTTCCCGGGAATTGCTCGGGGCTGGCTGATGACTTAAAAAACGCCGGCGGCACGGGGGAGGCAGGGGCGAGGGAGGGTGCACGAGGTCTGAACATCCAAGTGCTGCGCTCTGCTCACTGCATCAGCTCACCTTGGCTCCCGTCACCTGGCAGCTTTTCCTAATTACCTTACTCCTGGCCCTGCGGACTATACATTTCATCTCCTGCCAGCTCTTCAGCGAGACACATTCAGAAAGAAGCTGGACAGGCTTTTTGGCACATTTCAGGGTACTTCGAGGAGTGCTGACCGCTGCTGGGAATGGCGTCCCCCGGCCAGTCAGTGCACGAGACGGTCCGCTCTGCCGCCGCAGCGAGCGCGGGGTCTGGAAGAAAAGGAGGACCGGCCACTCCGACCCCTTACAGATAATTGGACGTAATGAAGGGATGATCTCCCCGCACGCGGCTCATGTGAATCATGGCTCGGTCGTAGGCCACCTGCACAGACTTGCGGATGCTGGTTTTTCGGCCTTCCATCATCTTCAACTTGTCCACTGTGTCGTCCACGCCGAGGGGATAGACTTTGTCACGCGGAAGCCACTGCCTGCAACAGAAAGGAGAGTGGAAAACCCCGTCACCGAGGGCATCGAGTGGGGAAACAGGCAAAGAAAAGCAGACACCTGGAGGCCTCTTGCCCTTGCAACGCTACGCCTGAGCTCTCTGCAGGAGCCTGACTGCTCCTGTGTCCCTGGCTCTTACACCAGCTGCAACAGGCCAAGGGGTTTGTCCCAAGAGTTTCCAAGATAAGGCCAAGTACTCCAGCTCCTCAAGCATTGCCCACGTATCTCAGCAGCACTCGCTGTCATCTCCTCCCCAGGAGCAACTACATTCGTGTGATCTATTCGTTTATATAACACCCTACAATGATGCTACAAATGTTTAAATGCATTTGACATGGAAGAACCACCTGTGGCCAAAACGCCTTCCTATATGAGCACAGGTTTCTCTCTCCTTGGAGTCCGTACTGAAGGCTTTCAACGCTCCTCGGAGCTCTGGGGGAAACTTGGAAACTCTTGTGTCCCACAGAGCAGCAAATACAGGGGCTTCCATGGTAGAAAGTTAAGTTTTTATCCTCGAGAAAGCTCTGCCTTGTTCCAAGAGGCTGTAAGCATCAGGGTTTGGGTGACTACAACCACCCGAGCATCATCCCGAAACGGGCAGCTTCCAGCAGACATGTCCCAAACCCAACTTGACCACAACCAACTGATGACTTAAAATGGAAGTGCCTTTTCTACAGCAAGTTTTTATTGTGCAGTCATTAGCCCAAGTTAACTCCCAAGTTAACTAGCACGCTCAGAAACATGCTAGTCACCTTTCCTAACGAAGTGCAGCCCCTAGCAGTTAAATCTCAGCACTGCTGGCACAGCTCAATGCACCTCCCCACCAGCCAACATGGGTCACCCAGGGCAGCTCAGCTTATCTTCACCACGAAGTCAAGGGGCCGATTACAGTCTTTGCGACCCTTCTGCACCATCATTGAAGCCAGCAGAATTTGGGTCTGGCACTAAGAGGGTTTTTTAAGATTGTCCTGAGGCACCTTAGCTTCCCACAAATTGCAAACAAGGAACTAAGTGGCCACTTACAAGTATAAACATCTACCAGAGCTTGTCTTCAACAAGAGCAGGGCAAAGCCAAGGAAATACTGATTTTTATTGGGAAAGCAGTTTCAATTACAAGTTTGGATTTAGATTTTTCAAAACTGATCATACAGCAACAGGAAGCTTGGCACTGCCATTGATTTTCAGCTAAAAATCATTAGTAGCTCTCTGAAGAACATGCCCTGTATCAAGCAGTTCTGGTAATCAGGGACAGTGAAACAACGCAGTGTACTAATAAAAAAACCTCAGGAGCGTGTCCCTTGGCACCTCTTTTCCCCAGAGGACACAAACATACTCAAGTGAAGCAAACATGATCCCCTTCTCAGCTTCCCAAAAAGATGCCACAGGCTTTTCCTTTGTCTGTGTTGCACATCACCTCCATCTCTTTCAACTGCATAAAACACTGCAGCAGCCCCAAAATGCAGGGGGAAACACTCTCCCTTGCTGCTTTACCCCGCTGTGTGTTTGGCTCTGCTCTCTCCTCACGATACACCTTCCCTCCAGCTGCGACACAGCCTCTGGGCAATGTTCACCTCCTTCCTCCAGCCCCTCACCCTTCCCTGCTCTTTTGGGAGACGCTCTCTCTGCCAGGGCTGCCTGGCTGCAACCTCACCCAAACCCCTCCCAGTGATGCCAGCAAAGACCTTCCCCGGGAGAATAAGGAGGAAAAGGGCTCTCAAAGTACCATGAGGCTCCTTTTTAAACTCTCAGTATCTTATTTTATAGAGGCAGCCCCATTCTCTCCTCCGTTCCCACGTGCACCTCAACAGCCCAGCATCCGCTTTGTCCGCAGGATAAACTCCCTGGATCTGTGATCCCAGCAGCACACAGGTACTGCCTCCCGTGTGACAATTTATTTGCTTGGTTCGTGTTTCCACGTGGCATTTGCTGGTTAAATAATCCAGCGGGTTCCGCGTGCGGCTGGCCGCCTCATTACGGGGACTCACCTCTTCCAGCAATAACGCTCCAACTTTCTTAGTTTCCCATTGTTTCATACATGGATTTCAAAGCCTTATTGCTCATTTTTAAGGCACTTCACTGGTTTGTGGCTGATTATATCTGCCTGGGTTACTGTTACCATGTGAGCACGGTCACCAACTGATAATAAAATCAGCAGATTCAATCTGTCTGAGACAGAACAGCAAAAGGCGTTGAGATATTTCACTTGCCCTGAACCAGGTGCTTACACCCACATTTGCCATCTTAAACAAACGTCTTGATTTGAAAACCGCAGGTATTCGGCACCTCTGAAAAAATCAGGCAAGTCTAAATATGGAATAAACCCGGCATTCTGAAAACGTTACCCTGGAGATTTTTGGCAAATCTTCTGCGCAGCAGTGGAACCGGCTGCTCTTTCTGCTGGTGTTTGAAAGTCAAATGCTCTCTCTAATTTGCGGCAGATTTTGACTACTAACTTGGCTCTCCATGTGCCTCAGTATTTTTGCGGTGATGTGACCCCTGGTTGAAGGATGTTGGGCTGTTCACCACGGAAGTGGAACAGTCAGGTGTTATGCTCTTGGGCCAAGGAAAAGCAGGCTGGCTTCCTCGTTTAGACTCTGAACTGCTGCATATTTAAATTCTCCAATTTACACAGAATATCATCATAATCCCTGTATGCTCCCATATACCAAAAGAGTATGTTAAATCTTCCCTCTCTGCCACAGCACTCACCACAGGCCCCCGCCTCTCTGCACACACTCACCAGGTTCTCTTGTTGTCAAAGAAAAGGACAAGGAAGAGCTTTTCTCCTGCCTCTGTCTGCCTCTGCTCCCCCAACTTCAACACATCCACGGGTGGGACTGGGATGGGGACTCCATTATGGAGCAAACCCTCACGCGGCATCTTGGGATCGATTATCTAGTGACACAGGGAAAGGATATTTAAGAACAAAACCCTTCAAGTACTGCAAAGAACGCATTTTTTTTTCTGCTCTTTCAGTCTATCCAAGCTAGACAATTAGGATGGGTAAGTAAAATTGTTTGCTCTCTCTCAGAGGCAATTTTTAAATAATTTTTCTGTCCTCGAGGCTGCCCCTGTGGAAGGGAAGCGAGTCAGTCCGAAGGCCAAGCATCCAATCTCAAAAAAGGGAAAGGACATAAATACATGGCTCTGTGGGGATGCAGATGCATTTACACTCATTGGTAATTTAGCACAAACTCAGTACTGTTGTGTTCAGCAAAGGATTTCCTTCCCTCGCTCCTAACTTGTACAAGAAACGTAACACCATTGCTGCTCTCAGCAGGTGTAATGCGATTTCACAACAGCTCCGTTCTGATGCAATTCAGTTGACTTCAGGGGCATTGCTCAGATTTATACCGCTATTAGATCAGAATCGGGCCCAATATTTGGAGAGTCAACAGGCAGTGCCAGCTTTATCAGGTGAGAGAAATGCAGACTATCGTCATTTTGGAGAGAATTGAGTGCAGATGCATCAATTCTCCCCCGTACAGAGCAGAAATGTCAGTGTCCAACATTTTTGCTATGTGATCACAGGAGGAGAACGAAACGGCACAGGATGGGTGGAATAGTCTAGTCTTCTCTGCCTCCTCATCTTGGCTCCTAAGGGCTGAAAAAGCAGTTTGGCTTTGACATGGGACAGCTGTAGAAATTTATTAAGATACTTTATTACGGCAACAGACTGCTATAAAAAAAAAAAAGCCTTTTTGGAGGACAATGTCACCATTTAAAGCCATGCTAAAGCACAATTTAACTTTGGCTGTAGCCACGTGAAGATCTAAAAATACTATGGCTGGCCAACATGGCTAGCAGATCCATAGCAGTTCTCTCCTCTGGGCTCCCGTGGTGAGGGAGCATGGGTGAGGGTCACTCTTTTAGCAGAATCTGCCCTTTTTGACAGCATCAGGAGCGTGCTCAGCCACGGCCAGGCATACCTGCTGTGTCAGCTTACGGATGGTTTCACAGCTCTGCTGCTTGGACGTAGAGACCTGTGTAATTTCCGTGATGACTACACTTGCTCTCACCCAATGCAATTTCTCAGCAGTCACAAGTGCCACGTCTCTCAGCGATCCCAACCATAAAGGTACTTAAGGGGACAGCTGCAGCCATGCAGAAACTACGTGGAGCAGAGATGGCAGGAAGAGCCATGTCTCAAGGGATATATTTAAAAGTAGCAGAAATAATAAAACACAGTCAGCCTATCTCACGTTCTAACTTATATACTTACTTCAGCAATCTCTGTTGATAACTTAACGAGCATTTAAAAGCCTGTGGTGGCACTGGCATTTCCTAGCAAGAGCTGCATGTCATGTCTTGCTTTGGAACTGGGTATGGTGCTCACCGAAGCCAGGTTTATGGATTTCACATTAATAGTCAAATATCCAAAGACAGATAAATATTAAGGAAATATCGTTCAAAGGACTAGGTGCAAACGCGTGCATATATTCTCATATTTAATTCAAAAATATGGTTATTGCAAGAGGATGTATACATCACAAGGCACATTGGGCACCTACACATGGAGTTGTACCCACTATATAGGAAAATGCGCAGGCAGTTACACACCACTGGAACCTGGGGCCTGCCTTTATAAAATTTAGGTCTTCTCATGCCAACAGTACTGATTACTTTCCCCATACCTGCAGAGTGCACAGGAGAGGAAAGATCTCCTCCCATCCCTGGCACAAAGAGAGCAATGTTTTATGAATCCCCTGCAATGCTCCGAAACAACGAGCACAGGGAAAATTAACTGTGCAAAATGGGGCGGGGGGGGGGAGAGCACATATTGCATGATTTTGGGAACTTACCAAGGCAGGGTAGGAAGGATAGCCACGGCACTTGGCCCACACGAGCTCCAAGGGCTCCAGCTCAGTCTGACTCTCAAAGGACATCAGGAGAGTCCTGCCTAAGGGACAGAAGGAGACATGGCTTAGGAGGGCGAGTCTTAGCAAGGGGGTTATGGTAAGACAAGAAACCACATTATCATTTAACCCAGGCACGATGACCTGCATTGTCTCAGCTCAAACGCATGAACTACTGTTGTACTTAAAACATGCTGCCAATATTTGGTTTATTTTTTTAACTTATTTGCTTCTTCAGCAAGCAGAAAGCCAGAATTTCACCTATTGTCCAGCTATTCGTCACACAAGAACATACATTTAATCATTACTGTGTACACATATGCATAATTCCAGGCCATTTCTCTTCATAAAAAGATCTAGAGCAAAATGGAAAGCCACTTATTATTTGTGCCTATATGCACTGGGTAGCCAATCCAGAGGTGGTACGACACTCATGTCATCTGCAGTAAGTTTATGATAAAATTTTATGTGCCCAGAGATCTAGCCTGGCCACAGTGAATGTCCAGCCTTCTTTATGCTCTCTCAGTACAGTCAAGTTCAGCGTTAAAATAAAGCCACGATCTCCTAAGTCATGGGTCTAAGTCTACGCATGCGTGCAGCTCATCAACTCTTTAATATGGAAATATTCATCATATTCAGTTCTGGGGTGAACAGCTGCTATATCACTGAAATCAAATGGGTATACAAGAGATGAATTTGGTCCATCAGGCTCCACCAAGCCAAATCCATCCTCAATGGAACTGATGAAGCTGTATCTGATTAATTTGGATCGCTGCTGAGACAGCTCCTTTTTATTCCTCCTAAATACAAAAATCTAGACTATTCCGATGCCATACACTTTGGGGCTGTTTGATCTCTGCAGGAAATGCCTGGTTCTAGTTGATGGAAGTCTATTAGCCATTAATTTCTTCAAACTTAAATCAGAAGTATTGCAAAAAGATCCATTCAAGACCCGAATAAGTAATCTGCCAGCTCCTGCCCCTGGAAAAAGAGCAATCTTCATTAATGTGAATTTTATGGCAAGTAGTGCTTGCTCTGGGGGGGAGTGCTCAAACACCGGCTTTACCCGAAGTCAGACTGAATCTAGAAAAGGCTGAGTACAACCCAAAAGAGCACCCTGCCAAGACGGATCTGATGTGCTTCTCCACTATTGCATTCCAGATGTATTCTTCCATTAATGAAATTATGTTCTATACCTCAGAATTGTCCCACTGATTCTAATTCTCCTGGTACCAGCCCTGCTCTGTAAGCTTCTCTCCGAAGCAGATTGCTGAGCGCGCAGGGTCCAGGATAACAACGGTTCCCAGGGAGACGGGAGCCAGCGCACGGGAGCTGTGCAGAAGGGCACAGGCGTACCAGCGACTCAAAGCTGAATTCCGATTTCAGCATAAACCTGCAATAACTCTATCACTGACACACCATAAGTAAGACAAGAATCCGGCCGTGTAAGCGCTGGAAGACTGGTGTAGTGCCTTGGGTAGTATTAGAGGAGCGTTACTTAATCTTACTGAAGTATAGTACAGTCTGACAAAGACGATTTTGTTACAAAGACCTAGAAAGCAATGATAGCAATACAAGAGGGAAGAGCCAGGAAGTCATCTCCAGAGAGACCCTTCTTATAATTATGATTTACTGTTTGTCTTGCAGCGTCATTAAAGAGAAATAGTCCCAAATCAGGAGAAGACAGTGCCAGGGACGTGACACACACCAGACCTACAGAAAGCCCCCATCTGAGGAGAACACAGAGCACAGGGCAAGCAGCAAAAGTGAAAGCAGGAAAAAGCTTTTATGCAATAATCTAAATTTTGTAACAAAGCAGGTAATAATCTCTTCCCCTCTACTCTACTCTGGTGAGACCCCACCTGGAGTACTGCCTCTAGCTCTGGAGCCCCCACCATAAGAAGGACATGGACCTGTTGGAGCGGGACCAGAGGAGGCCACGGAGATGCTGGGAGGGCTGGAGCCCCTCTGCTGGGAGGACAGGCTGGGAGAGTTGGGGGGGTTCAGCCTGGAGAAGAGAAAGCTCCGGGGAGACCTTATTGCCCCTTCCAGGTCTTAAAGGGGCTACAAGAGAGCTGAGGAGGGACTTTTTACAAGGGCACGTAGTGATAGGACAAGGGGTGATGGTTTCAAACTGGAAGAGGGGAGATTTAGATTAGATATTAGGAAGAAATTTTTCACTTTGAGGGTGGTGAGCCCCTGGCGCAGATTGCCCCGAGAAGCTGTGGCTGCCCCATCCCTGGAGGTCTTCAAGGCCAGGTTGGACGGGGCTTAAACCACTATGATTCTAAGAATAACGCACAGGCAGGGCAGCAACCTGCTTGTACAACCTGGATAGTTCGTGCAGGACTGGTTCCTGACGTGCACTGACACCTGCTCCCCCTGGTTCAGATGGATGTGAGCCCTGCGGTGTGGTGGGACCAGAGCAGGGCGTTCTCCAAAGTGGGGCTGAGGTGCAGCTGTTCTCACCTGAGCTGCCGTAATCAGAGTCTCCGTTCACACCTTCCAAGAAGGGCACCCGAGAAAGAGCTGGCTTCCCTCGACTTCGCTTGGGAGGCACCAAACCACTGTTAGAAAGACAAGGAGAAATAGGTATTAGGAGAAAACAGGTTACCCTTGAAAACAAAGCCAAATAAACAGGTTCCTCAGCTCTGTTTAAAATACTGCAAAATTACTCTACTGGTGCACCCTTGACATGAAAAGAACAATGAGTATTTGAGCAAAATTTCATCAATACGTCTCTTCTGGTGCAAGTACACTGGATGTCACCCCAGCCGTGCCATGAGCAATGAAAGAGGTCAAACGGAAACCAAGCTATGAACCAAGCTATGAGGAAGAAACCCAGCAACAAGTTCATGCTGGAGAGTATACCTGCAATTGGACTCTATCAGCCCATGTCCTGAACACCCTTTTACCTCATTACTACAAATATTGTGGAAAATGGACTATCTCTACCTCAAGCAATCATATTTTTTCGCTTACTGTAATTCTTTCCTTTTTTTTTTTTATTTACAGTTTTCCAATAACCAGCCCATTCTAAGTGAATTTGATGCTCAAAGAGAAAGAGTGGAGAAAAAGCAGTAAACAGAGCTGTTCCTAAATAGAATAATTGTACAAGTTATCCATGAGACATCAGCTTGTTTTTAATTCCTTGTTTTGTGGGTGTCACACAGCTCTAATGTAATTTTTGCTGTGTGAATTGCTTGCAATTATTGTAATAAGCACTTGCATGGCACTTTTCATCTTCAAAGTACTATACAAACATCAACTACCAAGTCCCCATGCTCCCCTGTGATTTCAGATTTGTCTCCCTCGCTTACAGATGGGGAAACAGAGGCAAATATGATGGGGCCATGAGGCCATGACATGGTTTAAAAGGCAGTTTCTGGCTCCTGGTCCCATTCCAAGAGCATCCTCACCCCAGGACGGGTTTCTGCATGACTCAAGGGCCCTCATTTAAATGACATTACAACTACACATGAATCCAGTTCTCTCCTTTTTGCTCCCTTCAATGCAGCTCCTCGCCTTAAGATATTTTATTGCAGCAGCTTCTTGTGAGATCTGCACGGGGGTCATGGTAGCATCCAGCTTACAGAAGAGACAATGACTGAGCTGAAGATCTGTGCACACAGCCCAGAGAAGCGGGAAGAGATGATGAAGTGGGGGGGTGTCCCATCTCAGAGAAGAGCTGTAGGTCCTGTGCCTCCAGGGGGCTCAGCCGGTGCTAAGGGAGATAATTTACTGCAGCACCAGGTGCTTCCCTCGGGCTGTCCAGCACCTGACTGTGGAGGTGGGACCGCTCTGACGCAGGGAAAAGCCCTCACACCAAAATTGCTTCTCCAAACCCAGGGCCTTGCCCCTTGTCATGGGCACAAAAGTCTTTGCAAACAGATTTATAATGGAAACACTAATCAAACCTTAGCTACGACTGCAAAATTATACACCTCTTTTGACAGCTAAGATTTAGGATCACTCTGCATAGCAAAGTTTTCATTTAAAAAATGCTCCTGGGATTCAACCCTGCTGCAGAATAATTTGTTACACAGCTATTAGTTCTAAATTGCAGCCTCAGTCCTGAGAGCGGGTGCACACAGGGAGCTTTACGATTTTAAGCGCCTGACTGACATTGCAAGGTTGAGGTCTTACAGAACTAACTGAGCATATGCATTGGGAAGAAGCATAAAGTGCCTGAACTCTAGCTCTGATATTCTCTAGAGTTCTAGTTCTCTAATGATGGGTCATCACCCTCAGAGTCATCAAAGACAAGCAGAGGGCAATGACATGTTCCAAGGCACTGAAAATATCACTACAAATATCAACTAAGAAAGTCTTGCTTCTGCCTGTCCTGGATGGCCATCAAGGCCAGCCTTGTTCTCAGCCTGCTGCTCACACAAACACGATTCCGGAATAACACAGGTTCTACCATGCAGTGCAATGACTTGAGTCAGTGTTAGGAGGGCTGGATAGGTAGGTAAGACCAGAAAATAGATCTGGTACCCACATATGCCTACTGCATCTGACCAAAAGATGACACATTTGCTTTAAGTCTGTTCAGTCCTGTTCGAAGTACCTAGTCCTGCTTTTAAACCTCCAAGGGGAAGAAAGCAGCAATTCAGTAGGTGGCAGAAGTTCAGTTTCACCCACAGTGCTGGGCTGGACATTTGAGTTCAAGGTTTTTCTACCTTTAGCTCTAAAGAATTGCAAGAAGATATTCATCAGCAGAGAGGATATATATATATATTGAGAAACAGAAGTGTAACAGATACCCATTTGCTTGAAAAAAACCCAACCACTGCTTTTGGGACGTATAGCTTAAGAGGACAGGCTGGAACCCAAGAAGCTTTTTGTCTTTAGGGTCAACACACAAAATAAGTAACAGTTTGGGCTGGTTTTGACAAATAAGTCAATTGATAAAACCAGGCAGATTAATGCAGACACAGAAGGTGTTCTGGGGAACAGTTCTGAACAGGGCACTTACCTGCAGGCTTCAAACACCAGTCCACTGCCCAGGCCAGAGCTGCACTCAGAGTCAGATCCGCTTTCTGCGTGCTTCGCAAAGCCGTTAGTCACTCCTGCTGAGAAGACAAATGGGAATCAGCCCCAAGGAGCAGCAGCAACACACAGAGATGCTACCAAGGCTCAGGTAGGGTCACTGTCCCAAAGATGCTTCAACCAGAAAGGGGAATTCTGTGCAGAGTTCCCCAGGCTCAGCTGCAACCAAAAGGTGACTAATGAAAGGTATTTCTACCCCCGACACGTGAAAAATTAAGCTGTCTCTGAAGAAGCAAGTGCTGAAGTGCCCAGGGATGGTACAGGAGAGCTCCACGCAGCGTCCAGCTCGCCGGGCAAGGTCAGAGGCCAGGAAATGAACCACTTGTTCATCTGGGTTCAAGTGTTGTTTGGAAAAGACATGGAGGTTTCATGTTGACTGGCACAGACTTCTCCATGCCTGACCTCGCGCCTGGCTGCCAGGCTGGTCCCTACCCACAGGAGCAGGAACATAAAACCATAGCTCATTCATTTACAGGTTCCTTGCTGAGAGAAAACTGCTCTAGGAAAAACTCATTGCTTCAGTTACTGGAAATGAGATTTTCCAGTGGACAGAGCAGACTCTGAGGAAGCAAATTCCCTCTGGGTAGAAGGCGGCTCCCACCACCTTCATCTCCAGCCGGTACAAATGTCACTGTAGCCATAAGTGGAATATTTCACTTTTTTGCCCCAGACGCCGACATTGCTGGAAATCTCCCCCTCCCTGCGAGGTTTACTGCTCTGTGCACCCGAGGGACACCGACCCAGAGAGCTGGGATCACCTCTGAGCTTGGACAAGCTCCACAACCAGGGACAGGCATGGGTGGACAGGGAATGACCCCTGAGAGCATCCCCAAGCCCAAGGCAGGCAGAGGAAAGGAGAGGACCACAGCCTTCCCCCATCCAGGGACCCATTGCCCCCAGGCTCCCCAAGGGCTCATCAAAGCTAAATTTGCTAATGTGGCCCATTAGCCACACAAAGAGCAAATTCATGCCAAGGCCACTATTTTTTTTTTTTTTTTCCAGCTGTAAATATGGAGTGGCCACAAGGAGCACATTTCTGGGCAACACCTTGTTCTGACAATCCCAACCACACTGATCTGCTCCTGCACTAACACAGATTCGGCACACCAGACACTCCCTCCAGTTAGGAGAAATCAATTGTGTTTGAAACAGTGGAAGGAGCTGAATCACAAAAGCAGGGCTGCAACACACAGGAAACAAACACCAGTGCTGCTTCAGCAGAGGTGGTCACTGCCTAGTTATCAGCGATTTTCCAGCACCCTGCCTGTATTTTCCCTTTTTTAATTTCAAGCTCTCATTCTGACTCGTATCCATTGTGGGCAACTCTCCTCTGCTTTAATTACTGGCAGATGATGATGGAGAGTCCCTCAACTAACTGCCTTTCTTTGGAGAAGCCATTTGCGTTTCCTTTAACCTGTCCTGGTAAGTCAATCCCCACATTCAGTTGCTTTCCTCCCACTCTAAATTTGTTAGCAACCTCCTGACAGCCAAATGTGTATAAGACAGTATTTGAGGTATGGGCTAAGTCAAGCCTTACAGATGGGAACTGTCCCATGATGGCCGTCAACACAGAATTAAAAAGAAATCACATTGCTGTCACTCAGATGTTCCTCTTCACCTTGTGTCTTTCCAAATTTCATCTCAGCTGCTTATTCTCATTTGCAGATCTAATTTGAAAAGGAACCTACTCGGTATTCCCACTAATTTTACTTAAACTCCAGAACTGAGGGTACACCCTGATATAAAAGCAATGTTTAACATCTCATCTTACATGGGTGCTGTGTTTCTGCTCCACTGCACACTTCCAACCGAATGCACCATTTCTGCAGCAGGAAACCCTAACTCCCAGGAGTGGCCGAGCCAACCCAAACCCTTCCATGAGGGCACGAATGCCAACACTTTTCAGCGCTTAGCGGAGACCCCGGAGTCTCCAGCCAGGCCATTCAACAGCTCTGCAAGCAGCTGGACATGTTGGCTTGTCCTACAAAAAATGGCAAACTCTCTCTTACAGCTGCCCTGCCGACTGGTAAAGGGAAGAATTACTTGTGATCTCCCTGGGCTTTACTTTGGTACTTTTACATGTCTAAAATGGAGGTGCCTAGAGCTGAACTACATTACTAGAAACTCCATTTAGAGTCAGTGGAGAAGAGAGGTACAACTCATTACGGACACGTCTTGTCTGCACTATTTTAGAAATGTGCGGAAGAGACAAAGTGTTCATCAGACACCTCTGGCTACAGTGACTATGTCTCCCCCAAACATTAAGTGAGTTTCAGGTGAGTAGCTCAGATGCAGATGTCTTTACTTGGCCCCAGGATTCCCCCTCCCTCAGCCCCATCTCACAGTTTTCAAGGGTACAGAAGGAAGAGAAATCCTAAGGAACTACCTCTCTGTCCTGCCTGCCTAGGCGTCTTCTCTCCATTGCTCTCGCTGCAGGTCCTGCTCTGCGGCCGCTTCCGAGCTTGTCGTTCCCCGCCAGGGTGGGAGGGCGAAAGCTGCCCGCTCTGCCCGTGGTCCTCCCCATTCTCCAGGGAGCAGTCCAGGCCTCTTTGCAGCTTCACCCCGTTCTTAGCTTTTTTAAAAAGGACAGATGTCCGTCGGCCCACGCCACTGAAAGGGGGACTGGCAGGGGTGTCTGCAGGCGGCAAGGCCAGTCCGTTGAGGCCGTTATCGCTGAGCAGGCGCTGGAAGGCTTGGCTCTCCCGCTGCAGCGCCTTCTTGTCGAAGAGCTCCCTGTCCGACATCACTTTCTTCTGCAGCTGATTCAAGGACTTGCTTTCACTGATGGGTTTGAGCGTCGGAGGGTCCTGCAGAGAGTCCAGCTCTGAGAGGGAGGGTGCGGGTCCTGTGGGCTCCAGGGTTGGAGGGTGCGGGGGCTTGGCATCATCTGCTAAAGGAATAATGAATCTCCTTGAACATTTTAGACAGAGGCATTCCCAAAACTACCAACAATCATTCCCATGTTTCACTAGGGCCACAGACAGGAGAAACAGCAGGTGTTGACTGTAGATATGCACCAGGTGAGCTGGAGCTAAAATCCTGCTGCAACCTCTCACCTTTATCCCCTTCCTCGTCGCCTTCCCTTGATGATTTATCCAGCTCCTCTTCCTGCGGCACAGGCTCCCCGTTGGACATGGTCTTGTTCTGCTGCTGGGCCAGCTTCTGCCGAATGGAGTTGATCTCCCGTCTCAGGAGCCGGATGCGTCGTGTCCGAGCACCGCTGGACCGCATGGTGCTCACCATGTCTAGCTTCTCCAGCAGCTCCTTCAGCTGGGCCTCCAAGGAGAGGTGAGCTCGGTTCTCCGGCAGGAGGATGTTATCCACTGCGTCAAAAGAGAGTGTAACAGTGAAGGGGAGAAGCAAGGCTTCTTGAAGAAGCATTTGGGACCATTGCCATGCCTCATTCCCACTGCTGCTATTCATGAACCAAATGCTTTAGTTTGGGGATTTAGCAATGGTAAACCTTGGAGCTCAGACTTCCTTTGGGTAAAGAGCAGCTGATTTAACTTGTACTACCCTCCAGTTCCCATAACTGTCCTGGAGGCAACAGTGAAAGGACATGGGTCTGCACCCACACGAGACAGCTCACAGTTCAGGTCCTTGGCAGAAACCCATTTCATTGCCAGATTAAAATGACAAAATCAGACCAGAAACAGAACTGGCCAAAACATAACATATTTGCCATTCCTCTGGCTCCGCTGAAGCGCTGGCATCCACTGGAGCAGGGCAGACAGCTGAGGGCTCTGCTACCATACACCAACACAAATTTCATAATAGACTGTCTCCCTGTGTCCAAGAGGGCTGCAATGTTTAGGAAACGGACCACAGACTGCAAGCTCAGCATGCTGGATGGCAGCAGTATTCTGTACTAAGTTTAGCCAAGTTATTCAACCAGTGCTTTGGAGCTGCACCTCAAGACAGCTATGGGAATGGAAGTGGTCACGTTGTGAACTGAAAGTCTCAGCTAGGAGAACTGCTTGGGTTCCAGTACCTTAGCCCCACATCGCCCCTCCCAGCCACCAGTGCTCCATCTAACCCAGTTGCTCTATACCTTACCAATTTACAATGGAATGTATGAGCCTTCCTCAGAGCAAAACCTCCGAGATCCACCTTTGCACTGTTCTTTAAAATATCAAGTTCGTGCTACAGCCATGGCACATATCAAACAGCATGGACAGTCACAAGGCTCTTCTAAGGCAGACGTGCACGAGGAGAGCTGGAGCTAAGCTGCACCTAGCTCCAAGTGCTCAGCTCACCCGAAATCCTGCTTTTGGAGGCTATGAAGGAGTTAAGATATATGCTCAGGTAAACAGATGGATAGGAAAATTCTTGTATGCTGAATGATGGCTATGATTCTCATGCAGGCTAAATGACATGCTCAGAACGAAGACCACAGTTATGATCTGCCTGAAAATAAAAGGTTAATAAACACTCACCATCCTCCCAAGAAAAGCGGTAAAAGTCCTCGGTTTTGGGTGACTCGGGCAGGTGAATCCCCACATCAGTGTCAAAGCCAATGTTTTCAGCCTGCCGCCGTGCATGACGCAATATCGCTCCTCCGAGGTCTCTGAGCCGGACAGCTGCTCGGTGGAAAATCGTGTCTTTAGCATTATACCTCATGCAGTTGGTAACTATAAGGTTAAAGTCTTCCTCAAACTCATCCAATGTTCGGTACAGGTGGGACTCCAGCTTCCGCCTCATGGTGGAAAAATCCATTGGGTTGGAAATGAATTCCAGGTAATCTGGAACCTAAACATATAAAACCTGTACAATTACAAAAACCATTTACTAGCCAACTAGAGCGCATCCATCATAAGCACTCTTAATGCCCTTTCCACCAGCAAGGGACAGTGCCAGCAGTCATTTCTGTGTCACCCAGTCAAGGCAGACACATCCTGGCTCTGCAGAACATTACTTGTCTGAGATGTCCTGAAGCTTCCAGAAAACAATACCCTTTTTGTGGAAGGATACCCACATTGTGAGTCCTCTCTGAGGTATTCTTTAGTCCACCAGCAGCTCGGGACAAGGTGGTTTGTGCTTCCAGGGTTATGACAGCACATGAGCTTCTGCCCAGCAACACTTCATCTACAACCCATTAAGACACCTCTAGGAAAGAGACTTGCCTCGTTCAGGTTAACAGGCTCTGCAAAGATCTGGGCAGCATCCTTCTCCTGCAGCAGGTCCAGTGTTGTGCGTAGAAGT